GCTATATCTTGGAAAACACTAATCCAATTATGTTCATATTTTCAGGAAAGAAAGAAGAGAAAGTGTATGTATAGCCCCTGTTGTTAGTTAGTTGTAAAACATGATGTCTTGGACACTTGCTCAAAAGACAGTTGTACTAGTAAAATACTAAAAACGCGAATGGAAAATCACAATATCTTGGAAAATACTAATTCAATTATGTTCCTTTTTCAGGAAAAGAAAGAAGAGACTGTGTATGTATAGCTCCGGTTGTCAGCAAGTTGTAAAACATGATGCCTTGGACACCTGCTCAAATGACAGTTGTACTAGGAAAATATGAAAACGCAGACAGAAGTGACTGCCACAGCAACAAAACCAAATAACTTTCTAACCATGGTGTTTTGGCACTGCAGATTTGGCACAAATTATCCTCATTCAAGGTGTGGTGAATTTGTGGAGTTTCATCAAAATCACTTTAGGGACTTTACAGTCATGGTCAAAATGCCTTCTTAAGTCTCCCCAAACCAGGGCGTTTGACTGCGATTTAAAAGCATTTCACCATGACTGTAAAGTCCCTGAAGTGATTTTGATTTCACTCTACAGATTTACCGTACAGTGAATGAAGATGATTTGTGCCGAATTTGAAGAGGCAAAACACTATGGTTAGGAAGTTATTAAATTTTTTGCGGTTGCAGTCACCCCCGACTACGTTTTTCGTATTTTCCTCGTACAACTGTCTTTTGAGCAGGTTCCAAGACATCATGTTTTACAACTAACCATTTACAGGAGCTATACATACACAGTCTCTTCTTTATTCCCTGAAAATATGAACATAATTGAACCCGTATTTTTCAAGATATAGCGATTTCTTTGGGTTGCGTTTTTGAACACCCTGTATTTAAATTGAGAAAGTGCTCATTGAGAACAATATCCCCTGCCAAGAAAAAAGTATGGCTGAGGAGAAATCCTATGAAACTGGGCTCGTTATTCCATAACTGTTGATATTTGGACACCATCCTTTACATTATACAAAATATTAATATCTCTCTGATTTCAAATATTTCATGCTTGATTTGGTAAATTACAATACGCCTCGGTAAAAGCTTTTTTCGCCTTGTGAACAGTTCCAGAGGGTATGAATGAGATATATTTGAAATCATTACCATGTACGAGGGTTGTCCCAGAAGTAATGCACTATATGCTCTAACTTTATTCAATATTCTTCAATTCAGCTGAAATTTTGTGTATATTACAATTGAAGTTTTATCTGTCATATCTTAAAGTTTCAGAATAAAACATTAATATTAGGTCTTAATATGGTTGCTATAGCAACATGGGGGTAGGGGGGGGGGGAGCGGGTAAGGTTACAATTTTTCTAATTATGAAAAGATCTAAAGTGTTATTTTATCAATATTTCTTTCTTTTAACTGATCAAAATGTTTGGGAAATTGTTAAATTTATTCAGCATGATGTTAACCAAATACAAATAATGACTGTGATGTCATAATACCACAGTTCAAAAGTCACAAATTCAAATTCAGTCACAGTCAAGAAATTCCAAAAATGGCTGTAATCTCACCTGATAACAGAAGGCCTTGCGATGGCTGTAATCTCACCTGATAACAGAAGGCCTTGCGTTTGGTGGCTTAATGTCATACTTAACTTGGCCTCATAGCCACTAAAAACTTATGCTACTATGATGAAAGTATAAAAGGACTATACACTAGATAGAACTACAATTAAGAGGTGGCAGAAGAGATTTAAAAGTGATGACTGGACCCTGAATGACAACTCCAAACATGGGAGGCAAAAACTCTTCAAGTCACATTGGACAAAATTGCTTGGAGTGTCTGACCTGACAGGCATCAAAAGTACATAACATGCAAAGGGCAATATTTTGAGAAATTGTGAAATGGGACATAGTGCAATATACATCCATTAAATCTAGAATCGGCTCATTGTAATTTAGAATCTTAAAATGCATTTTTGAGCATACTTCTTATAGCTACACATTGTTTATTAAATATTTCATATTTTCAACTTTTTCTTCCTTTTGACGTGACTGTATAACCTGCGCCACCCTACCCAAACTCACCAACTTGATTTTATGATAACATCAATATAGTTTTATAAGTCAACATGAAAATTTGTAGAATTATCAAAATGTCTCCAAGGAACATTTACTTAAAATTTCATGGAAAAATATCCATTATTGATAAAGTTAGAACGTATAGTGCATTACTTCTGGGACAACCCTCGTATTCTGTTATGTCAGTTATTATTCGTTTCAATATTTCGAAAATCAAGAAATGTTTGAAATGAATTATCTGCAAAAAAAATAGTATGAGTTCTGTTGATATAAGTTCACAGCACATGGCCAATGGGACCCTATCCCGTGCCGGAAGTTAGGGGCGCGTAGGGGTCACTGGTTTTCGGGGTTCGACCGTTAGTGTTCGGCGTCCGTAACAAATGAGAGGTGGTGACATATTTTGCATGTTAATGCCTTGTTTGTTTTAAACACACCGCCCTTATTAAGTATCTCCTGACATCTCTTTAACCACGAGTTTCTTTTATCAATGAATTATTTTCTTAATGAATATACTCTAAAGTGAAAAACATTGTATCCCTTTGGAACGTAACAAAACGACCCACTACCACAATATTCGCCAGACTTATGATTGTTCCACATGTTCAGCCAAACGTACATTTTTAGCTGTCCGTATGGCATCTGCGAGAATTTGCCTTGTGTCTTTAGTACTGGAAATTCCTTGGTACCATTTTATTAGCATTTTAAATGCCGACATCTCTGAGTTATTTTGATTATCTTCCTTAATGCATGAGAGTTTTGCTTGAGGCAAATGAAGAAATATGCCAACCTTAAACCAATCCGTCCCGATTCTCTCTGCAATTTCAAGGAGAAACTGTTCTGAAATGTTGCCGCCATCTGAAATTGTAATTTATGTTGTATCTATTGTTTGTTAATATTAATATCATACTTTGAGAAGAAATTAAGAATTATTTATTGAATGTCAAGTTGTATGCGATTAAAATGGTTGACAAATACGAGAACGGACTAAATAATTAACTTATTTGTAAAATTGCACCATTCAAGTATGAGATGCATCAATTATATAATGGTCGATCTTGGAAAAGGGTATTCTAGTATCTCCGACCGGTAAATATCTTTAACTAGGCTCGGTTTCTGTACGAGGTGTGATCAATAAGTAATGGACGCTTTTTTACACGGATGCTTTTTATAGACCAATACCTTAGATTTTCTTACCATTGATACATCATTCAATTATCTATCAACTCTGAAGATTTGAAAACAAAACATGTAATATATTTTGATATATCTTTTCGTGAAGGAGGTATAGGTACCCCAGGACCGACATGACGTCAAACATTCCGAAGCTATTTTAGCTTGACTGTTTAACATGCAACGCAGTTGAATGCAGGTTGAACAAAACAAACCATTATGGTCATGAATTACCCCATTTTGTTATGCCATATAGGTGATTTTGAATATTTTATCATCACTATGTGGTATTCATGCCACATTCATTCTACAGGGCACTCTACATAGGTTCCACCAAGTGCTACATGTACACAATTCCTCATCCTCTTAACTCAAGATTGTGAGACAAGGCTGAATCCATTCTCTGACATGGTAGCAAGATGCAGTTGCACTGGTTGTTTTATTTCATCAATGTCAATAAACCTGCGTCCATCCTCTATAGAAAGAAGTAGTATAGGAATAAATACACCCTTGGTATACGCAGCTAACGAAAATTGACCGGTACGGGTCAAAAGCTGGACCGGGACGGGTTAACGGTTTTATTTGAATTTAAAACAGCCATAACTTGCTCAATATTGACTTCCTCGTGTCTAATTTGGAATATGATGCCTCCCGATGCTTTTAAGTACCCCAATTTTTTACAGATTTTTAAACGGACCAAAACTCTCTAAATGCGCATTTATGCTCTTTTCTCTCGGGAACGACTGTCTCATTTTCACGATAACTTTTATTTAGTACTTCTAACATATAAGATCTATTTTTCCCCATCTAGGTATCATGTAAATGACATGCTATTTACATCTTGTGAGTTTCAATGACGCGCGTTTGATTTTATAAAATATGCCAAACTTTGTGACAAAGAATTTCATCCTGCTTGCAGCGACAAGACGGACCGGTTCGGGGCAATAGCATGAACATAATTTAGGAATCTTTATACATGTGTGTTACATCTATTATTACAAGAATCTAAAGTTTTAAATCTTCACCAAGGGTGAAATAAGTCACATGTGGGAAGATCTGGACAATATGGTGCATTGGCCAAGGGCTAAATTTTGAGGTCCAGGGATATTGTTTTCTGAACATTTTGAGACCTATGGGCAGGTACATTGTCCATACGGAGTAGGGTGTCTCCTTTTCTCACCAACCCCTTCTTCCACAATGCTTCCTCAAATTGACCTGCAAACCCCGACCATACAACACTGGCATCACAATACTTAATTACTGTTTGTGTGTTACCAGTCAGCAAAATGTTTCAAACAACACAACACTTGTTGCATATAAAAAAGTTTAAATCTGACTGAAATTTGCCAAACTGGCTAAAAACTGAATATGTGACGTAAATGTCGGTCCCAGGGTACCCGTACCTCTTTCACGGAAATAAGGATATATCAACACATATTACATATTTTGTCTTCAAATCTTCAGAAATGATAGATAATTGAATGATGTATCACTGGTAGGAAAATCAAAGGGATTGGTCCATAAAAAGTATCTGTGTAAAAAAGCGTCCATTACTTATTGATCACCCCTCGTATAGCCTAGCAGTTCTTCATGGAGATTTAGATAATATACATAACCCTTGGGATAAACGGTGTTTCTAAAACCACCCTATACCACAACCCTTATATGTTTTGGTAAAATATCACATTTTAATGATTTTAGTTACATTGTAATTTGTGCCATTCCCGATGCCCTTCCCGCCGATTCATATAGACTTGCTTAACTAGGAAACAAGAATGTAATAATGAAAACCTGCTTGGGAAGCTCTTTCTACCGTGACGCCCAAATCCCGTGTTTCAACATTGTACATATTTCTGGTCGTTCCTTGTTGTGCTAGTGTTTTACAATCTTGACCAGGTTGTGGGTGAAAAGTGCTGACGGTTCTCCAGGTTGTTGTATCGTGCTTCTGGCTTTTTGTGTGAACACCGCTGTCACTTTCTTTGTGAGTGGGTCTGTCCATTTTTTGGACTCGTGATTGTAAAACTTGGCCATTTTGTGGGTGAGCGGGGCTGACCATTCTTTGGATTGGTGATTCAGACACTTGGCCACTTTCTGGGTGAGCGGACTTGTCTATTCTTTGGATTGGTGATTCAAAAACTTGGGCACTTTTTGAGTGAGCGGGCCTATCCATTCTTTTGATTAGTGATTCACAAACTTGTTCACTTTCCGGGTGAGCAGGGCCATCCATTCTAGGGATTGGTGACCCACCAACTTGGGCACCTTCTAGATGAGCGGGGTTGTCTATTCTCTGGATTGGTGATTCAGAAACTTGGGCTTTTTCTGGGTGAGTGGGGTTGTCCATTCTTTGGATTGGTGATTCACAAACTTTGCCACTTTCTGGGTGGACGTGGCTGTCCGTTCTTTGGATTGGTGATTCACATACTTGGCCACTTTCTAGATGAGTGGGGTTGTTCATTCTTTGGATTGGTGACTCACAAACTTGACGACTATATTGGTGAGCGGGGCTGTCAATCCTTGAATTTGGTGTTTCACAAACTTGGTTATTTTCTGGGTGCCCGGGGCTGTCAATTCTTTGAATTGGTGATTCATAAACTTGCCCACTATCTTGGTGAGTGGGTCTGTCCATTCTTTGGATTGGTGATTCACGAACTCGGGTACTCTCTGGGTGAGCGGGGTTGTCCATTCTTTGGATTGGTAATTCACAGACTTGGCCACTCTCTTGGTGAGCTCGGTTGTCGATTCTTTGGATTGTTGATTCATGAACTCGGGTACTCTCTTGGTGAGCTCGGTTGTCGATTCTTTGGATTGTTGATTCACGAACTCGGGTACTCTCTGGGTGAGCGAGGCTGTCCATTCTTTGGATTGGTGACTCACAAACTTGGCGACTATATTGGTGAGCGGGGCTGTCAATCCTTGGAATTGGTGATTCACAAACTTGTTCAATTTCTAGGTGAGCGGGTCTGTCCATTCTTTGGATTGTTGATTCACGAACTCGGGTACTCTCTGGGTGAGCGGGATTGTCCATTCCTTGTATTGGTGATTCAGAAAATTGGCCACTTTCTTGTTGAGCTGGGCTGTACATTCTTTGGATTGGTGATTCACAACCTTTGCCACTTTCTGGATGAATAGGGTAGTTCATTCTTTGTATTGGTGACTGACAAACTTGGCCACTATCTTGGTGAGCGGGTCTGTCCATTCTTTGTATAAGTGATTCAAAAAGTTGGCCACGTTCTAGTTGAGCGGGGCTGTCCATTCTTTGGACTGGTGATTCACAAACTTGGTCAATTTCTAGGTGAGCGGGTCTGTCCATTCTTTGGATCGGTAATTCACAGACTTGGCCACTCTCTTGGTCAGCTCGGTTGTCCATTCTTTGGATTGGTGATTCACGAACTCGGGTACTCTCTTGATGACCGGGGCTGTCCATTCTTTGGATTGGTGACTCACAAACTTGGCGACTATATTGGTGAGCGGGGCTGTCAATCCTTGATATTGGTGATTCACAAACTTGTTCAATTTCTAGGTGAGTGGGGTTGTCCATTCTTTGGATTGGTGATTCATAAACTTTGCCACTTTCTGGGTGGACGTAGCTGTCCATATTTTGGATTGGTGATTCACAAACTTTGCCACTTTCTGGATGAGTAGGGTAGTTCATTCTTTGTATTGGTGACTCACAAACTTGGCCACTGTCTTGGTGAGCGGGGCTGTAAATTCTTGGGATTGGTGATTCACAAACTTGGCTACTCTCTTGGTGAGCACTGTTGTCCATTCTTTGGATTGGCGATTCACGAAGTTGGCAACTTTCTGGTCGGGCGCGACTTTCCATTTTTTGGATTGGTGATTCACAAACTTGGGCACTTGCTTGGTGAATGGGGTTGTCCTTTCTTTGAATCGGTGATTCACAAACTTGGCAACTTTCTGGTCGAGCGCGGCTTTCCATTCTTTGCATTGGTGATTCACAAACTTGGGCACTTGCTTGGTGAATGAGGTTGTCCATTCTTTGAATCGGTGATTGACAAACTTGGCAACTTTCTGGTCGAGCGTGGCTTTCCATTTTTTGGATTGGTGATTCACAAACTTGGTCACTTTCTAGGTGAGCGGGGCTGGCCCTTCTTTGGATTGGTAATTCACAAACTTTGCCACTGTCTTGGTGAGCGGGGCTGTTAATTCTTTGGATTGGTGAATCACAAACTTGGCCACTATCTTCCTGAGCGGGACAGTCCATTCTTTTGATTGGTGATTCACAGACTTGGCCACTTTCTTGGTGAGTGGGCATGTCTTTTCTTTGGATTCGGGATTCAGAAACCTCGACACTTTCTTGGTGAGGGGGGCTATCTATTCTTTTAATTAATGATTCACAAACTTGTTTACTTTCTGGGTGAGCAGGGTCATCCATTCTAGGGATTGGTGAACCACCAACTTGGGCACATTCTAGTTTAGCGGGACTGTCTATTCTTTTGATTGGTGATTCACAAACCTGACCACTTTCTGGGTGGACGCTGTCCATTCTTTGGATTATAGATCCAGCAACTTGGGGACTCTTTGGGTGAGCGGGGCTACCCATTCTTTGGATTTGTGATTCACAAACCTGGCTACTTTCTTGGTGGTTATAAATGTCCATTCTTTGGATTTGCAATTCACCAGCCTGGGAACTTTGGGGTTGAGCGAGGTGGTCCATTTTTAGTGATTCACAAACTTGGGCACTTTCTAGATGAACAAGGCTGTCCATTCTTTTGATTGGTGATTCACAAGCCTGGACACTGTCTGGGTGAACGTGGCTGTCTATTCTTTTGATTGGTAATTCACAAACCTTGGCACTATCTTTATGAGTGGGGCTGTTCATTCTTTGGGTTTGTGATTCATAAACTTGGGCGCTTACTGGTTGAACATGGCTGTCCATATTTTGTATTGGTGACTCGCAAACTTGGGCACTTGCTTGGTGAATGGGGTTGTCCATTCTTTGAATCGGTGATTCACAAACTTGGCAACTTTTTGGTCGAGCGCGGCTTTCCATTTTTTGGATTGGTGATTCACAAACTTGGGCACTTGCTTGGTAAATGGGGTTGTCCATTCTTTGAATCGGTGATTCACAAACTTGACAACTTTCTGGTCGAGCGCGGCTTTCCATTTTTTGGATTGGTGATTCACAAACTTGGGCACTTGCTTGGTGAATGGGGTTGTCCATTCTTTGAATCGTTGATTCACAAACCTGGCATCTTTTTGGTCGAGCGCGGCTTTCCATTTTTTTGATTGGTGATTCACAAACTTGGGCACTTGCTTGATGAACGAGGATATCCATTCTTTGAATTGGTGATTCACAAACTTGGCAACTTTCTGGTCGAGCGCGGCTTTCCATTTTTTGCATTGGTGATTCACAAACTTGGGCACTTGTTTGGTGAATGGAGTTGTCCATTCTTTGAATCGGTGATTCACAAACTTGGCAACTTTCTGCTTGAGCGCGGTTTTCCATATTTTGGATTGGTGATTCACAAACTTGGTCACTTTCTAGGTGAGCGGGGCTGGCCCTTCTTTGGGATGGTGTTTCACAATCTTGGTCACTTTCTAACTGAATAATGGTGGCCGTTCCTTTGGTATGGCTGGTCTTCCCATTAGTTGAGGTACCATAGGCCTGACCATTCTCTGAACGAACATGACTCGCCATTTCTTGACTCAGTATACAGGCTTGGTTTCTTGTGTGCACAAGGGCGGACTCTTTCTCATTTGATACTTTACTTGGTGCATCAAATTCTGGGTTGGTTGTAACTGCAGTCAATCCGTCATATTCTTGATCACATTTTCTACATGTGAGACCGGTCGACGGCATTGTTGATGCATCAGATGTCTCGCACGTTACAGGTACCGCGGGTACTTTTGCACTAGGCAACACAGGACCAGTTGTTGCTTTTGTGTCGCTTTTCTCTGAAATGGATCCAACAAAAAAGACTACATCTTTAATTTAACCTTAAAAAGGTAACAATTGGACATAATTTTATCATATTTTCAAATGATTCTGATTCTAAAAAGGCAAATCATAACAGGGGCGGATCCAGGATTTTGTGTTGGGAGGAGGCGTTTGATAACAACTCTGAGCGAAGAATATGGGGGTCTGGGGGAAATATTGAAAACTGAACATCATTTAGTGCATTCTGACCAATTTCAGACCGAGAATACCGGGAGGGGGGGGAGGGGTCTGAGGGTTCTCCCCCAGAAATTTTCGAAAATTGAATCACATGGTGCATTCTGACTAATTTCAGAGCATAGGTCTAATTCCCGGGTCTGGTTTTAACATATGCGATGCGTTATTGACAATCCATAACCATCTATTTTGATTTCCAGTAAAAATTCTGACTTGGAGGGGTGGGGCGCCCCCACACCACCGTCTAGATCCGCTAGTGCAAAATGAAAATATGAAAGTTCTAGATTACATTCTATAATTTTACCTGGTACTTTATCGAGCTCTGTAAGCTGGTTCCGACAGCCTTTCCAATGATACTGACATTCTTGGAGCTGACATCTTCTATACAGATTTCGGCATCCTATGGACGGACACAGACAACATCCTGTCAGAAGCTGACAATCTATAAAGTGATAGCATCCTCTATAATGAAATCGGCATTCCATGAACTGATTTTGACACAATCTATAGTGATTTTGACATCCCATGGATTGATTTTGACCCGATCTACAGTGATCTTGGCATCCTTTTGACTGGTCTCGACATCTAGACTGATCATGGCATCCTCTAGATTTACAGTTACATCCTCTAGACTGACAACAATATCCTCTAGAGTCGGGACCTTGACAGCTATCTTTTATTCTCTCTCCATAGAGAGGATCTAGAAAATAACAACTGCACTTTAGACAGAGTATACCCGTATGTGTTTTTGAGCACATTAGTTACTTTTGGTTCACACGTTGAAAGGCAAGCAATATGGACGGGGGGGGGGGGGGTAACATTGAACAGAATATTGCACAATCAGCTGGTAACAGCATTACAATGAATAAATAATCTGGTGTTCAGCTTTAATTATTGTTTAAGAGGCTGCTTGGTTTTATTAGGATTATTAGGATATTCATGATATCGGGCTAATTATCTAAAAGAACATTACCCGATGTTTGGACTACATCCTGGCGTTGAACAGAATTAGATTCTGCCATTTTTGCATATAGACATCGTTGTCATTGCGTCGTAGAAAATTAGACAAATCTAAAACGAAACCATAGATATATCAAGAACGTGCAACATGCTCCAGATTATTAACTTACAGATATGCAGCCTAGTAGTTTCATATTATAGATCATCATGGTGATCATGGATTTCTTCAAATCAACATACAATGGAGCTGCATTGAAGCATAACAAAACCTTACTTACGACTGACTTGCCGATTATCCTTCTTACACAGTGTCTTGCGTATAAGCCTTTGTTTATTTATATTTTTTCTGAGTCATAAAACATACGAGGAAGTATACTATTAATTATTTTCAAAGTCAAGATTAATGTCAAGTGCGCATTATCTGATAACATTCCAGAACATATCACACCGAACAACTCGACAACGGTGACACCACATTCCGTTGTCCAAACATGAAAATGGCGGTAAGGTTCTTAAATTTGCATAATGATGACTATGAGATTCATGGTTTACTGTCAACGGCAAAGCGCAAAGTTCCAATTCCGTTCACTTTAGTAATTGCGTTATGTCTCAAATAAGTTAAACTCATAGCTGCTGTCCCGTAGATTCAAAAATACATTTGCTTCAATCATATCACGTTTGTTTAATAGGCAGGCGCAGCCATATTTACCGCTTAAAATATCGATTGTACCAGAAGTGAAAATCTGCTAGACCCGAACATACCATATGAGTCTTCCGATTATGATACCATTAGACCATTGGATAAATCTCAGAAACCGTATCCTCGGCCCTTTTGTTATTGAAAAAGGTTTTACAGCAGGCGTTTTTATAACGTACGAGAACGAATCGCAGATCTAGAATGATACCTTGAGGAGGGGGGGGGGGGTGACTTGCAGGTGTTCTCCCTTCAGACGACCCTATTTGGTTCTTTTTTGGCACAATCATCATATCTTTTTTATCTGTTAATTGATTGTTTACAAACAATAGCTTGGGAAATTCTTAGGCCTAGTCTGAATTCCTCATGTAGGCCTAGTCTGAATTCCTCATATTTCGCATGTAATTCTCAAAATTTTCTGATTCACAAGTGCCACTAGTGTCTGCTATATTGGACTCATTTTGTGTAAGAAAGTTACAATAAGTCAGCAAAACAGATTGATAAATAGAAATTTCTCGTTCATTTTGAATTATTTCAATGGCGTTCAATAAGTGTTTTGTTTTCTTTATTTTTTCTTCATGTGTCGTTTTTATAACTTAGTATTAGATAAGAATTGGGTTTCAACATTGCATGGAGCTTTTTAATTTGTCAAAACAGAGACAAATAACACTTTTATATGTCTCTTGTCAAAACTATTATATGTAAGCCTAATATTTATCATCACAGGCCCAGGAAGAAGATTTAAATCCCCCAGTAACTGTAAAAAAATAGAAGATTTAGGCTAACCTCCCCCCCCCCCAGTCACTGTAAATGTAAAAAAAAATTTCTACCTAATACATAGTGAGTGGGAGGGGGATGAACTCTTGTTCCCGTGTCTGTGTTTATCATATATTCATTAATTTGGGTAAATTGTCGTAACCGTACCCCTAGTAGACCTCAACTCCCTTTATAGACACTTTGGTCGTTCGTGATTTTATTGCATAAAGCTAATCTTCAAAAAGAAGTGAGAAATATTATCAGAAAGTGATATTTGATTTTCTGCGAATGCTAAATACTTATTACCCATGCTTACAAGAGACTGAGATAAAATAAGGATGTGAATATTTGAAAACTAGACTGATCCCTCAAAATTAAGGCAGGCTAAATATGAGTCTAAAATTTTACTATGGGTCAGATGTTTAACAGAAACTTGTATCACTATGATTATAGTTAAGCTAAGAGGAGATAGGGGCATTGTCCGGGGGCATTGCCATCCACGGGTCATTCCAGGACAAACCCTTGGTACCAGGTGGAAATCTGGGGCATTGTTTACTGAACACAGCTGGCTCAAAAGTCGACTTCTGTCAGCTCGGTAGAGCATGGGCTCGGTGGTAGAGCCCATGGGTAGAGTAAATGATTAAACTAGGCCTAGACCAGGCCCGTAGCCAGAGGGGGAGCTTAGTTTGCACAAAGTTATCTCCTGAGAGATATCTATCTAAAGATGGCTATGTGCAAATATAGTAAGGGGGAGCTTGAGGGAGCAGAAGCTCCCCCTCTGGCCAGAAATTCTTTGAAACTCATGCAGTTTTTCACCATTCTGAGAATTTTTTGCATGATTTTTAGCCAAAATTGTGAAAAAGCCCCCCCCCCCCCCCCCTGGAAAAAGCTCCCCCTCCTGGTAAAAGCTGGCTACTCGAGTCTCTAGTTTACAGAATAAAGAGAAGGCTTTGGACCTAAGTAGCCACTTTTTTGATTGACCAAGTTTACCACTATCACCCCAGCAGGTCCAGACGCTACCAAGGGGAGTCCACATTTTAAGTCAGATAAAAGAATGTCCGTGCTTACTCAGAAAATTTTTTTGGGCCCCGATATCCAAAAACCCAAATTTTGAAAATTCAAGGCCCATTTTTTGAAAATTGGTAAAATGCCCAAAAAGGCTCTACTAATTTTTTTCTCGGCCCACCCAAGAGGGTGGGGAGGGGGCATGTTGTTCTTTAAAGTTAAATTTATTGTATTCTTAAAGCTTGGCCTATAATGCCTTTTTGGAGATTGGCAAAATCTAACATTAACTTTCAATTCCTCTAAGTTTGTATATTCAGATTTTCTTTTAATTTGAGCCAGTTCAGATATTGGTACAAGAAGTGCAATTTCAAGGAAAAGGCTAGATATGTTATGTAATACCCTCTTGTTTTAGGTCCAGAGATATAATTTTATACACTTGGTTTTGAGAGAAAAGCAAGATTTGTAACCTGAATAATGAAAGGGACAATGAAACCTAATGTTTAAGACTAGAAACAAATTATGATTTGCATTGGCTTTTTAGTCATTTCAGAAATGGAAGCAATTGGCCAGTATATCTTGACAACGAAAATTGCCTTAGCAACAGCAATCATCAGAAGTAAACCTGATGGACTAACAGGTGCACAATATTGTGCCTCGCTCTGCTCAGCATATACACAGAATACAGCAGCAGTGTTGTTAGAGAAGAACAAGCAACTGGAAGAGCAAGTGCTGTTCTTGAGGCAGAAACTACACATAGAGCAATCTGTTCTTCCACATGGAGCAGGTGAGTCACTGAACAGGAGCTAAAGTTCTTTATTAATGCCTATCAGCCTATGTAACTTTCCTGATAATGGAATCCTGATAATTGAATTTCCTTGAATTTCCCACTGGCAATCTTTTATTTTCTTTCAAATAGAATATTCAAACAATGTGGCAAAAACACCTCCTTTCAGCCATACTTTGCTCAAATAACGATGCTTTCTTTTATGACGTAATCAGAAACAGAAAAGGAATTGTATACTGCAAGATTTATAATATTGAGAGTTGAGATTTCCTATCATGACTTGAACTTAAAAATGCATTATTAAATTCTGTTTCAGAGCAGCCAGCATCTCAACAGAATGAGAACGAAGTATTCTTAACTCCACCTTCTTCCTCTGAAGAACAAACATCAGCAAAGCTGGAGCAACTCAAGCACAAATTCTCACATCATGCCCATTTCTTCAACAGTTTGACACCAATTCTTCAAATATCCGCCAATACAAATAATCATACATCATTAGAGATCATCAAAGAAACTGCAGAATCTACTATTGAAGCTTTGAAAGAAACTATTCGAGAGAAAATTGTGTCTACTCATGTGGAAAATGCAATGAAGAAAGCTGCAAAGGCTCTTGGGCTGCTTTGTGATGGGAATGTGAAAGTCTTTCAAATCATAAGATCTGATATAGAGGAGCTTGTGGCAACACTCATCAACCAAATAATGTCAGATGAGGACTTGAACAATGTAAGTTATTTTGTGGCATTATTTTCTTTTTAATGTCACAACCTGAAGTGGTGACATTTTCCCTTTGTTATCATTTACATCCAAGTAGAGTCCCTTAGTTACCATTTACACCCAAGTATAGTCCCTTAGTTACCATTTAGACCCATGCATCGTCTTAGTAACCGTTTACTCAAAGTATAGTACCTTTGATACTTTTTACACCCAACATTAAGTTACACTGCTATTAGTACCTAATGATGCACCCTCGGCATTAAAACATTAAAAAACATATGCTTAACATTGAAAGTAGCAAAATAGGAGGCATTTCAATCAATTTCTGTTTTCACATTATACTTTTCAGATGGACAAACAACATTCAAAGAGTCACCTCCTGGTAACATTGGGAACTTGTTCAAGTCTCAAATTCATCATTCTGGAAGTCACTCTCAAAGCAGTTATTAAAGCTACTACTACACTGCAAAAATCAACTAAGCATAGCCTAGACCCAGTGTTGCATGACAATCTATATTATCTGCTATGGAGCATGGAGGAGATTCTCCAAGCAGAGTGCATGGCTAGCCTCAAGGAGAGAGTATTAGTTGCTATTGAGCGGAGGCAGATTGTTGATCATTTAGAAGAGGCCATGCTACACCTTACCAACAACTATCCCCTGGTTACCATGTATATTATGAAGTTAATTCACATGTTAGAATTTCTCCAACAAACTGAAAAGTGAATGAAATGTGAACTCTCAGAGTGAGGCTAAATCAGATATCTAAGAGGCATTTTGGCCCTGGTTTGTCCAATATTATTTCTAAGGTCACATTACCAAAAGTACTTAAAATTCATGCATGATAATACTGAAATAAAGAAAATGAATATTAATGCTGATACATGCTACTTTAAATTAACATGCCTTTGGGTATAGCATTGAAACAGTTGTTTTTAAAAAATGAAATATTCTGATCAAAGGACATGTAATTAAAAGTTATCTGGATTGATTGGCAAACCCGAACTCCAGTGCAGTGATATATCACTGCGGCGGGCAGGTATCTCACCGTAAGCATGGTAACTTCGTAATAAACAACTGACGTGATTGGTTCTAGTCCCATGCTCAGGTCACGTGATTGTAAAATTTAGACAATTTCATTGGTTGAATTGCTCGTATTAACTAATAAACAACACGTGCGGTAAACTATTATCAACACAACTTTTACTCAGATTTCCTTCCGCGGTGATTTCTTCTCATATTTCAATAATTTTTAAATATTTTGACAAAATAATGTTTGGGGAACATTCATGAATACATATTTTATAAGTTGTGTGAAAATTGACCACATATATGATGAAAAGGGGAACTATTTTCCCCAAATTTTGGGGATTTTCTTCATCTGCCCGCCGCAGTGTCTCGGGGAATTCGTGGCAAACCATACAAACATATGCTTTACCATGTATACAAGACTGTCAAGAATATTTCATTTTTCTGGTAAGTTCTTGTCATATTATTTATTGAAGTAACATGGTGTATTGTTTTTTGTTTGATCTTAACCTGCAGGTACACAGGTACTACGCTACAAGTTTAGAGGGCCCCCCTAGAGGGCATTGCTGCCAATCATTAATTGCTTTAAACAATTGTTCTCTTCAAGTCCAGTCTAATCATGAATGTGAAAATAAAATTGAAGAAACTATTTATGTATATTTCATAATTTATATTTATTTGAGTGATTCCATTCTAAAAGCATTCATTAGTCAGTTGTTCAAGTCTTTAACAATCAGGAGTCGTTACATATTTACAAAATATATACATGTACGAAAGAACAAACAATATACTTAGTGGATGTAATGAAACAACTAATAAACAACAAATACAGGATCTGGGTGTATATTACAGTAAAACTTGTCATGCCTGTAAGGATATCTCTAAATGCAAATTTTTTTCAAAACAATCAAGTTACATTTCACTTCAAATAATCTCTTATGACCAAAGAGTTCCCGCATCAAGATAACACAGACAATGTTCCATGTGCATGATGTTTTCCTGTATATATACATATACATGTACATAACATACATCAACAGCTGGGCACCCAAGAATGGAAAGACTATACATATACTAAGTGTATATGACTGATGCTAATGACTGGTGATGAACTGATCCATTGAAATGTGAATCTATTCCACCAGAATCGCTGACACATAAATAGTAAAAACTTCATATATTAACCTTGGGTTAATTTTACAAAATTACATAATAAAAATGTAAAATAATCTCAATACTGAATATTTTCTGAACAGGTTCAATTGTTCATACTATGATCTCTTATTCGCAACAATCTCATGTTTATCTTAAAGTGATATGTCATCTGTATTCAAATCAATATTCAATTCTGTGTTCACTAACACTCCTTCCTGTGTTCAGAATGATATGCCATGTGCATCATTTCATGCTTGTGCAAAAACAATAAAGAAGTCTGCAAAGCCTATGTGTAAGTAGAAACAAAAAGACCTACTATTCATCAAAATTAAAAACAAAAAATGCTTCACTAAATTCAGGAGACGAGGTCTCTTAAATTAACAATTTCATACAAAGTATCTACAATCTAAATGATACAAATAGGCCTTAAATATTCCAAACTAACCAAAAAGGTTTCTCACATTCAAAACTCAAGAAACATAAGATTAAATATTAAAATAAATAGGCCATTTTGTATTCTAGAAATACATATTGGTCTCGTGAACTTTAGAAATACAGAGAGGCAGCTTTGAGTAATCTAGAAATACAAATAGGCATCTAATACTCTAAAAATACAAATAGGTCTCATGTGCCCTTGAAATTAAAATAGGCCTCTTATACTCTGGGATACAAATGGGCATTTAGTACTTTAAAAATACAAATAGGGCACCTAGTACTCTAGAAGTCCTGAGAAATACAAAACATTTTATAATACTAAAATATGAACAAGTACTATACTCAAAAACACCTCGACCTGACATAAATCGAGAATACTGACCTTTTGCTTTTACACGTGAATAATTTTTCATTCTGTGTTTTCACTTTTATAACTAAATAAACATTATTTCCATTGGAATAATCATTATCACTAACAATAAATACTGTATAATGTTGAATATAATGTCAGGTCTCAAAATTATTGAACAATATTTATTCACGATGATTTATCTTTACTTATCTGAAGTACTAATTCATTTGGGTCAAACAAAGTACATTTGGGTCAAACAACATACATGGGTGCACTGCCCAGAATTGGAGAACTTCACATAGATGAATTGAGTCCTCATCTTTTATGACACCTTTACAACAAAACACCCTGATGGCGAGAGGTCATTGGTTTGATTTGACTCCCATGGGGAGGGGAGGGGGTCAGACGTTCTCACATCAGCCCCCAGCACAGGATTTCATGTTTTCATCACATACATACTATATGATACAAGCAGTCTTCACACATTTCTTACAATTGTCACATATTAATCAATTTGAGTGAATGATCAACATATTTATATATATTTTCTGGCTATGTACACACAGCAGTTATGATGAACAAATGATCGAGACGTGGTATATGCAGGGTTCTCACCAGAGAAAATTTCATGTATCACAGTATTTGCAGCATTAAAGTCAATCACATTTGTGATAATTCATGGTGCAGTAAATAGCAGTTTGAAACTTGCTAAAGTCTGTTAAGATCAAGAATTTGTTTTTTCTTGACTTCATGACCATATATCAACTTCAGTTTGCTAGATACAAATTGCACCATTAACAGTAACAGTATAGATTCTATTCTTTGTTAGGCTTTCTTTAGTTTCTTTACATTTGAATATGATACATCTTTGTCAATGGAGACTCACTGCATTAGACCGAAGTGTTAGTAGATTAGATAATAAGGACCCGCCAGTCTCTATTCAATGTGGTGAGAACCCTGTAGATGTTTGTGTCAACAATTTAGCCTAACTACTGGTAGTATCTACATGGATCCTTCGAGAGATATATTAAGGATATTGAAAATATAATTGAAAAAGGCACCATGAACTTTTCTTCCAATGACGAAGCTCTTTTATAAGTGAAGTCAAACGAATGCAAAGGGTATCATTTCCCATGCTTTGGATTCAATTCTCATAATTATTTTGTACCCATACATTTCCCATGCTTTGGATTCAATTCTCATAATTATTTTGTAGCCATACATCTGCATGTTGTCTTAAGGTAGTCTTTGCAAGACACATTTGGAACCTGCATACACATAATGTGTATAAGCCAACATTCAAGTAAATCAACCAGATTCCTCATTCTACTCTGTCTTCCTGAAGCCAAATATATACGCCAATGGGGGAAAATTCCACTTACCCAATGGAGTCCCATCGAGCGCCATCAAAAGTTGAGAAAGCTTTGCCAATGCAATTTTGATCCCAAAATTTACCTGACATGTCATATGATCAAAAGTCTTATGATGCCCTGTGAAAAGAACGAACAAGTTCATTCTTGATGGGGCTTGGTCTGTTGGGACTTCCTGGGGCTTTGCAATGTGTGGTCTATGAAGGTCCAACTGTGCCCTAATTAACTGGTGCATATTTGGCTCAAGCTGTCCCATCAAATTAACTGATGCCAGAATAAAGCTGAGTCATATATCTGATTGTCTCCACTCATTAACAATAATAATGACTGTGTTATGTGACCCTGGTGTTCCTAGAGGTTTATTCTGTAATCCTACTATCACACCAAACTAGTTCTCACTACATTCTCGAAAACGGGCTTAAACTGTGCACGAACGGATTTGACGTACTAAGAACCCAATAAGAACCGTTTGGGATCTGTTTACAAACTTCATGAAACTACTAGAACGAGTAGGTTCTCCAGCACTTACAGCATGCTCAAAATTTTCTGGTGATCGTCAAAACGTTGCCGAATCGGTTTTAAACTGTGTGCGAACTGAATGAACGTAGATACAACGTTCTACGATCTGTTTACGAACTTCATGGACTTTCCCGGACGGGGTATGTGATTTTAGAATTTTGAATCGATTCAAAATTCGATGGCGACCATACCGTTCTGTAATCAGGTCATGATGACCTTCTAGACTAAGGGACGGTCTCTACTACGTTGCACACCGACGTAGTGCGACCTGAACGAACTGCGAATGAGATGGACGTATTGAAGACTGTTTATGAACGAAGTAGCTAATTATTTTAGACATATATCCCGACCGCAGCCAGATTGAGCCCGTTTTACGACATTTTCGTAGGACTGGCAAGAACGGGTAAGAACTAGTTTGGTGTGATAGGGGGGTTAACACTAGAAGATTTAGAAAACATTGAACTAAAAACTGAAGACAAATCATTGTTGGTTAATTCATAAAACATGTAAAAGCATACACCATATCAGCGTGTATTAAAGTCATCAGTCAGCAATTTGTGTTTTTATGTGTTCCAGCATGTACAGTAAATTATCATCCTGATGCTAACATAATGCGTACCTCGATTATAAACTAAAGTGAAGGATTAATGCCGACTGGACTACTTGTATATTTGTGCGTATGCAACTAGTTGTAGTATGAATAGCAGTAAAAAACATACTTGATATGCCTATTTACAATCCACACATTTCACACAGTGTACCATATAAATATAATTCATCAGATTGCCTCGTTACTAAAATACATAATGCTCATTTTTTGGTCACATGGTGGTGATGACTTGAGTGTTGAGCTTTAATAGTTTGAGATTGGCTATGAGTTGATGATGTTGTAGATCTATTTGATGGTGTGTTTTGTTGAGTTACTAGGGTTGGGGAGGCGGTTACCTGCCGACTACGCTGAAGACGATATTTCATAATAGCTTGCCAAATGCGACAGTGAATTCCACCCCTGAAAATAAACAAAGTATCATCACAGAAAGTTTTATGGGAATTTGAGTGTATAATTTCTGTGTATTTAAAATTCATGAACATTATGCATGAGGTCAAAATAATATAGGATTCTTAAAAACAACTCCAATTAATAAACTGAAAAGGTTATCCTACATTTTTCTTTAGAATGTACAAATTTTGTAATAGAGGAACTAAAACTTACTTTAAGTTCAATCTCCTAAGATCATCTTGTGTCATAACTTCTAATACATCTTTTTTAGTGTATGCCTCTCGTATGAACTAGAATACAAAAATAAAATACCATGCAGAAATGTTATCACCTGCCATTTGTTACAGACCCTGACTGCCGAATATCAACTGCCAAACCCCATCCACAAAAACAGTTGGGAGACTATAACAATATGTCGCCACTTCTGGTAGTTAAACAATCAGCTGATATGTACTAATAAATCAACTCTTCAATTACCAATTGACAAGAGCTAGTGCCTAATCACTGCTGCACCCTGGTGTGACATGAGATCTACTCACCCTATTAATGGTTTCCTCATCAGCCCCTGCAGTCTTCAACCAATGCATCAGACCTGGGTCTACACTGGTGTTCACCTCTGAAATATAAATGGATATTACAGACTTTTACAAAAGAATCATAGTACAGTAAATCCTTGTATATTGAACATTTTTTGTTGGTAGGTGTTCACTACAGAAAGGGTCATTTATACAGAAGTCAACAGAGAATGTGCGGAGGAAAAGTGTCCACTAGAGCAGGGTTCGAACTTAACTTTCTAGCCTGGTATTGAAAATAGTTACCTGAGATTTTTTCTAGGTAACTAAATACCAAAGTAAGGTAGTTGTTATTACCGCTTGAAATTGTTATTATCGCAATAAAACAAAGTTTTCCTTGACACTATATCCATTAAAAAAGTCTATTGATCTGTTGATCTATTATCAATTTTATTTCATGATAACATTCGAAAGTTCCCTACCCTAAATTCAGTTTTAATTTTAATAGATCAGATGGGAGAACATTACAGGCTATAAAGCCTCCACCCCTTCTAAACTTGATGATGGTGATGATTAGTCATGTGATCAGATCAAACTATAATAGACCAATCATGTGGTATAAACATTCAAATTCAAATTTCCCACTATAAACATTCCTAAGTGAAAAGGTCAGGCTGATAATTTATGCAAATAGCTGTTGTCTTTTCGACTTTCCCTCCCCAAGATTTTATTTTTCTTATTTCAAATCTGCATGGTAAAATGGGAATTGCAAATTTTATTGAAGGGGGTGAAAGCAATTTAGTACAAGACATATTTTTCTCAATAGATGTCTCCCTTTTTCATACAGGAAGTTAGGCTAGCAACTTCAGAATGTTTCTTAACAATACGGTGATTTTACCTCAAAATTGCCGGTTTTTAAGACCTTTATTTTAGGAAAATAAGAATCTGTATGGTAAGTGAACACTTTATCTTATGTTTTGAGAAGTTACAGCTTTCAGCTAAAGTGAAAAAGGATGAAAAGTGTCAAAGAAAAAAAAATCAAAAACATTTGATCACGGCAATGTCGGCATATTTTCATTTGAGAAGTTGAGATGACGATCATTTAGAGTTCTTCCCATGAAGCAGGTAACTATTTTCGTTACTTGGGCATGTTGCTAGGTAACGATTTTGGAAAATGAAGGAACGAATCGTTACTTCCGCAACGCTAATTTCGAACCCTGTAGAGACAGGTGTCCACTAGAGAGAGGTTTTCACTTAGATAAGTTTTACTGTATTCAATTTTCAGATGATGATAGCATGAGTTATGACTACCACTGCCACTATTTTGAGCTAGCATTTAAAATCAATTGCAACATTTTCAATAGCACAATAATGATGCTGGAAAATGAATATGCCATTTCCCAATTCAGAAGTCTTCATACATGTACCTTTATTTGGGCTGACTGGGGCAGGGTTTGGGACACCAAGGACCTGTAGGTGCTCAATGTTGAGTCGTTTCTCTTGTATTGCACTTTTCATCATATCACGATATGAATACTGGACTTCAATCAGTTCCCTTAGTAACCTGCAAGCCAAAACAAATTTCCTTTATGGGTTTCCAGTGTACATTATATAATAATGTAACTTCATTTGTGCAAGATGTAATTTTAAACAAAATTGTGTTCTTATCATGTATTTAAGCAAGCATTGTTTTCTTTTTTATGGAATTTCCTCGGCATTCCAAACTTTTCTGCTAGTCTTATTCATATAGATATATGTTCCTCAGCAATACATGTAGTTTAATTTGCAGTTCTGTTGTGTTGTAATTAAGGTTTTTTCAAAGCACTAACCTCAATGCTTTGCTTGAAACACATATCACAAGTTGATTGTTTCTTCCTTAATCCAGGTCAAGGTTAAAGGAAGGATCCATCAATCCATGAATTAATTACCTAGTTTTTTCTTCATTAATAGTTTACAATTGTGTCCTAATATACAAGTATAACTAACCTAGTATTTTCTTCATTAATAGTTTGCAATTGTGTCCTAATATACTTTAACTAACCTAGTATTTTCCTCATTTATAGTTTGCAATTGTGTCCTAAGATCCCTTGCTTCTAGATTATTAAACTGCTCTTGTAAATGCTGTGACTTTCCTGAGTCAAATGTTGACACCCCAGATGATGTGCCATGCTCTTCTGCTGCATGAGTTGACAGGTGGGGGGTCAGTTCTGAAAGTAATACAGCGAAAATAGCAAATACAAATATCAAATATTTTCTTTTGGATGTGAACATATTGGTAGTGTCATGACTTATTTCTACTTTGACAATGATTCACAAAGTGTTAAAATTGTATTGCTGAAATCATTGTTATAAATGAGGTAACACATTCTTTTGCTCTCATGCCCATATTTGGCCATAAATAAAATTTAACAATTAAATTCACTACATGTGTGACATGTACATGATTGTTGGAGCCATTTCTATAGTTACAGAGGATGGTAGATGTACTCATCAGTAAATGTTTGTTAATAACTGTTTCTATAGTTACGGCAGATAGTATCTACTCACAGGGAATATGATTGTTATAACTGTTTCTATGGTAACGGAGGATGGTATCTACTCACCAGGAGATATGATTGTTATAACTGTTTCTATAGTTACAGAAGATAGTATCTAATCACAGGGATTATGATTGTTATAACTGTTTCTATAGTTACGGCAGATAGTATCTACTCACAGGGAATATGATTGTTATAACTGTTTCTATAGCAACAGAGGATGGTATCTACTCACCAGGAGATATGATTGTTATAGCTGTTTCTATACAGTTACGGATAATGGTATCCATGGCAAATATCCAGTGAGGCTGGTTAGTTTTCTTCTTTAAAACATCTTGCACCTAGAAGCCACAATTCGAAAGATGATAAACAATTCTTAAAACTTCATTTCTAGATGTCATTTTAAATGTAGATATCAAAAATGATATCAAAAAATGTTGAATATAAATAATTAATTGGAGATTACTTCTACTTGGATTTGGTCAACTGAGCATGATTTAATTTGTCCAAAAACAGATGATTAGGCCTAAGTTTTACCTTCGTTCTTTCAATTTCAAGAGTAAGATCATGTGACATTTCACTGACCAATGAGAATAGACAATATGTATCACTCACCGCATCCTGGAAGGCATATATGGCAAGACTAATCTCATTGAGAGCTGTCATATCAAAATCAAACGCCTCCCTCAGAGAATCTAAAACCATTCAAGTGTTATATTCACATATGTTCTTTAATACAGTGAGTTTTTAATGGTAGGAAATAAATGAAATTCTGTCAGAATTATGAAACCCAAACTGGAAAGCTAGAATTACCTTTGCAATGTTATGTGTAAACGGATAACTTTTGTGTTTAGTTGCATATTTCATATCTATTACTAACATAGAGTATATAAACAGGCCAAAATCATGCATGTGAGACTACTTAAAGGCCCTATGCAAAGTTTGAAAATAATTATCATGAAAAATGTCCAAATGGGATTGAAATACAGAATCAGGAAAATCTCACCTATAGCATGTACTACAGATTTTTTGTCATGGTCTCTGATATATTCTTGGAAACCTTGCACCAATATTACTAAATGAGCCTGAAAATACATAACAATAATATCGCAGCATAAGATGTGTAATGGATATCAGTGTTATACCATGGTAAGAGCAATATCAGGTATGTAAGGGGCGGGGTCAAAATATCGATGTTCATATGGAGACGAAAGTACTTTCGCGAGGGGGGGAGGGGGTTTTTGGGCACTTTCGTTGACCAAAAAAACATCGATAATTCGCATCTGATATACAAAAAATAATTGGACTTACCCACTTTTTCTGGCGCTATGTTCTGATAAAAAGGCTTGTTTTCAATAGTTTGTGAGCTTTTTTGTGTGATAGGTCCAAAATATCGGTAGATAAAGACGATAATTCGATCATTTTTCAAATAAATTCCGTACTTTTCCCTCCTCCTTTTGAAGAGTTCAATGCAGTTAAATTGCGAACGTGTGTTAATTCACCGTAATAATAACCCGGCAAATAGGAAATCAATGTTTTTTTGAAGTGACCTAAGCTTTCGTCTAGAGGGGGGTGGGGGGGTTGTTGTCCAAACGAAATTACTTTCGTCTCCATATGAACATTGATATTTTGACCCCGCCCCTAAGCATAGTGATAAATCACATATTTGGGATGGACATGATGAATCGGGATGATATCAGGATTAGCAGGATGCATAGGTGTAGCCAGGAGGGGGTGTGAAAATAGATCTATTAGATAGAAGAAAAGAGCTTTAAAATGCTTTTCATTTTAAGCTTCTAGCTCAATTTTGAAGGAAGTTGAATCAACCTTTGGCGTTTCTTATGCCACGATTCACGATTGCACCTTCCTGACTGAAAATGTTTTTGGCGATTGCACCCCCCCTCACTGAAAGCTGGCTACGCCCCTGGGATGATTTGCATATCAAACTGATATCAGTCCCAGGTGTATATTATTCCCAGAAAAATCCTCCAGAGATTTTGCTCTTTTCATAACTAGATAAGTATTTTATACTCAAATGGATTTGGCACTGAACAATGAAATCACAGCATTTGTCGCTTAAAGTAACTATGGGGTTCAAAACTTTAAACTTGGGTAGGTCTAAATATGAGAATAAGTTCTCATCCTAATGTATTAGTCACTAAATAGTTAGACTTGCCCTACCTTTGTTAGCTTTGGATTGACAATGTTGGTTTCCTTTTGTAGCAATGCCAGCCATCTATCACATACCTGTAAGACAAAACATGAATACATGAAAGCATTGAAGGGCTAAAGTGTCACATTTTACAACATTGAAGTATACTCTTCCTTCAAAAGGTGAACACAGCGGAGGAAATATCCCAAAGCTCATGAAACTTTTTCTATATAAAGATGTACATGTACATCTCGGTTCTTTGAAATCTGGGATATTCTCCCTCTTAGTGCACCTTCTAAATAAATAAAGAGAATTGCTATAGTGTATCTTAGTTTTTGGAAGATAAAATATCAGAAATGAAATTTGGTTTTAGTCCATAAGTTAAGGGACATTTTCTAGTTATTTTTTAACTCTAGCAAAACATAACTAGCACTTCGAATAGTATGGTGTCCAGAAAAAAAGAATCAAAAACAATCATCCAGATTTTCAAAACATTTTTGAACACTCTACGCAAGTTTTTATTTGATGTATATCATATGTTTGCCTAGATATATGGAATGGTACTCATATTAAGCATAAAATAAAACAATATTTTGGATAAATGATGTAGTTCTACAAAGGTTCAAATATGACCCCTTAATTTTTTTTCCTTTGACCCACCATTTCCAAACTATCTGCTAGTATCTTCACTAGAGAAACCCTACGCTCAGAGTCCTTGCGCAGTAAATAGAATCCTCCCTCTCGATTGGCTGCTTCAGGGTTCAAGAGGTCCGTGCCAGGAGTTGGAGGTTCATTCTCGTTAAATGGTGACATCGGGGTTTCTGACGTTGAACTGAAAATCAGTATTTCATGTTGAAAGTACTAGCTTCAGAACTATACATAATACATGTAGTTCTCAGTTAATCATAAGTAGTTGTACCATGCCAACATATTAATCCTAAAATTGAGAAAAATTAACAAAGAAGAAACAAAAAGACCCAATCACCATCATGCCTTTTCAAAGAAATGCAACCACACCATTATACTCTAAACTTTAAATAAAGTGTCTCAAAAGATTATTTAAGAGGTTTTAAGAATACACAGTAGAATGAATTGCATGACATAAAAAAAAATTACAAAAAGATGTAAGATTAACATTTTACACTTAAAAAAGTCATTCTTATAATTATACCTAAATTGCAGATGAATCTGAAAACCAGACACTTCATTCAAAGACACTTCAACCAGACACTTCATTCAAATATGTAAGCAAAAATAAGCCAAAACAGCATGAGTCATGAATGCAAGAAATCCTCACCTGTCTGATCTCCTATAGCTCCCTGTACTACTATAGAAGCTATCATTGTGGCTGAACTCCTGCAGGCGCGTTGGGCTAAGTGTATTGGGACTGTGTGGAGGACTGAAGGTAGCCTGACTACTCACAGGGGAACTAAGACATAGAAAAAGCATGCATTAACTAAACATCTACTGACACCCTAGGCCTTACAACAAGGAGAACTGACTCCAAGGATTTCTTAATTTCTTACAACAGGAGAGTATTCACACACAGGATTCCTTATCCAGTTAGCAGGATTAATTGCCAGGATTTCATTCCAGTAAAGAGTATTAACTCCCAGGATTCTTGACAAGTAAGGAGGTCTTAATCCCAGGATTCCCTACATCCAGTAAAAAGCAGGATTCCCTATCAGGGAGGAATTATTCCCAGGATTCTCTACCAATAAGGAGGACTTATTCCCAGGATTCTCTACCAATAAGGAGGACTTAATCCCAGGATACACGACAAGTAAGGAGCACTTAATCCAAGGATTCCCTACCAATAACGATTATTGATTCCCAGGATTCTCTACTATATCTAGTAAGGAGGACTTAGTCCCAAGATTCTCTAACAGTATGGAGGATTAACTCCATGGATTGGTCAAGGATATCAAAAAGTTAAAATATAGTCAAGCCCCCTTGTTTGCCAACTAATAACAAAGTAGCCTAACAGTGTTGTAAAACTGGTAAAGAACAAACTGTAGCCCAACAAGTGTTCAATCAGCTGTAGAAAACATGCATACAGCAAAACTTTTTGATATGATATTATGAACATTTTTCAATGTAGAAATTACATTGTTGAGATTTTGGAAATGATGGGAAATTGCAAGGCTATATTCTGTTGGAAAAGTTGAAGGGGATGTGGTATGGAGATTACTCATATTGTAAGGGCCAACTGATTTATATATTAACACAACATACTGTCTTTTCCTGGTGGTGACATTTTAACAGGAAATATTTAGGGGGCGAAATGTGGATTTGATAATACAGGTTTAACCATTATGAAAAAACTCATTAAATGTAAGTGGAAATAACCTAACAAGCTCTTAATATTGAAACATTATTAATAAACAAATTATTATCTATTTTTATGATTATACTAAAATAAATCAAATGCAACAAGCCTGTTCCCTCTCAAATATTCCATCTCTCTCCAATTGGAAATATATACAGGGATGAAGGATAAGGAACCGACTTGATGCACAGACTTTCGTGAAATATTATTTAAAAGTTTCGTAAAAACCAATCATTGAATTTCAAAATAATCATGCTGTAGCCTATAGTAAGCATTTCTATTGAGTTTCAGCATATGTGGTAGATATAGAATTGGATATAAGAATGAAAATGCTGATAGGAGAATAGTGTGGGATACAAGAGAAAAATAGCGTGGGATTTGAGGGGAAACTAGTGTGGAAATCAATAGGGGGAATTACTAAATGAGAACACATACAAATAAAGCAAGAAGAAAAGCAAGCATGCCTAAAAGCGGGAAACATGCACAGGCTGAAGACAAACAATTTACATGGGGAAAAATCAGTCATTCTATGCAGAAATTCCTCATAATGGAGGGGTTTGATAAATACATAAATGTATAAATCCAACGTATATCAAACAGTTTTCATATAGGATGAGGTTAGGTAGTTAAAGTGCATTTTTTATTTCATGTGTCACAGACACAATCTTACACGAAACGACATTGATATTTCACAATAAGACAAACAACATTTCTACCACAATGAGACAGTTTACACTTAATGCAAAGATACACTGAACGACTACTGCCATTTTGTCTGTATTTTAGTCTACTCTACCAACCTGTCAAACGTTGCAGCTGAGTGTACCCTTGGTACAGGACTGTCACGGGGACTAGAGTTGTTAGATCCATTATAACTATGAACAAATGAAGTAATTAGGTTTGCAGTTTTATTGATGAACCACCACTTCAGAATAAGGGACCATTTCACCTGGATTAACTGTTCAAATACAGTTAGTAACGCTACATTGAACTTTTGAGATGTTCCCTAGATGATTCATGATTATAAAGCTATTTGCAACTGTACGGGTCTTTTGGTTAAGGTACTAAAATGACTCGGCGTCTAATTTTGACTATTTTAGTAATATTATATGACTAGCTTTAGGCAACGAGGCACATTATGCAAATCAAATCAATTATACGTAAGGATGTATATATGCTATTAGTTTTGTTACAGAGGCTCACATGAAGTCACATGTACAAAGTTGATTGAAAAAGCAACATGAAAATATTGACATAACATGTGAATCTACAAATATTACGCACGTGTGTTATTAAGCAATCACTGAAGGTTTGTGTTTAATGACGAGGTAAAGATAAAGCAATTAAGGGACCATCTGTGATATCTGAATGCAGGTTTTTCATTCTAAGTGGGCTGCCCTTATATAGGAATAGTCTTTTGAATGTTCTCACATGATAAATGATAACTGTTTCCATGGTTCATAAACCTAAGACCCTAAGCTAAAAGAACATTGAAGATGTTGGACAAACAGTTTTCAATTATGAAAAAAAAAATTTGAACTGAGAATTTACAATTTATAAATTCTTAATTTTCTCAGGATAGATTTTCAATATCCTTTTAAGGTCAACCAAAGCGCTGAACATAGCATAATGATAACCACACAAAGATATCACAGATATATTCCAGGGAAAAAAGAACATGGTATTAACAAAATAAAATTATATGGCTATTCACATACCTGTCTCGAGATATTTCCCGATTAATTGTTACATTTAAAGATGGCGACCTCTTCTTTAGATCAGTTTCATCGCCACCTGGAGGGGACAGGAAACGCTCCGCAGGAACTGAAAATTGTCAAACAGAAAAACATTCTATTTTAAGCCAGAATTGACAAACTAATAACCTGCATCAATATATCATACATATATTCCTTGCACTATCTTTGACACTCAATCTAAATAAGAATGTTTTATTTGATGGGCAGTATTGATGAAACAGTAAAACCTGTCTAATTGAGAATTGAGCACATCAGTTATCAAATGAATTGAGTCCCACTGTGTCAGTAAACACCCTGTGTTAGAAACACCCTTCTTTAATGAACAATGCTGGCCTGTATGGAGACTGTTCCATACACACGGGTTTTACTGTACTAATGATTACTGGGGGGGGGGTGTTCACAGGTTTCAATAAATAAAGGTAAAGATGTATCATTGTAATCAGTTTATTGTAAATATTTTTAATAAATATAATATTAATTTACACTATTGAATAGCAGTTATACAAGGTGGATTATAACATGTGGTTTATTTTGTAAATGGTGACTTTGGTGCTTGGATACTTAAAGATTTTAGGTTATGAGACAAAAGTCATATTTATATACAAATGGAAGTAACAAGGAACAGGGGGTAATAGGTAGACAAAGCATTAACATCCACCTGCCATTTCTATAGATGCCAAACACCAAGCACTGACCAAGCACTTGTGGTGCTGCCATTTCTATAGGTGCCAAACACCAAGCACTGACCAAGCACTTGTGGTGGTGCTGCCATTTCTATAGATGCCAAACACCAAGCACTGACCAAACACTTGTGGTGCTGCCATTTCTGTAGATGCCAAACACCAAGCACTGACCACCCCCACTTGTAGTGCTGCCATTTCTATAGATGCCAAACACCAAGCACTGACCACCCCCACTTGTGGTGCTGCCATTTCTATAGATGCCAAACACCAAGCACTGACCACCCCCACTTGTGGTGCTGCCATTTCTATAGATGCCAAACACCAAGCACTGACCACCCCCACTTGTGGTGCTGCCATTTCTATAGGTGCCAAACACCAAGTACTGACCACCCCAACTTGTGGTGGTGGCATAACAAATCTTAAAGGAGAAGATGTACTTCACAGGTAGAAAACTTTGGAGACATTATACAACAGGCACAGTGCTATTAACAACCACTTAATTACAACACGTTACACTAGGCATGGAAGTATGGGACAACCCACCCCCAGGTATCAAGCTCCCTTAACCAGAACATACGTACATGTTAATGAAAAATCTGTGAACAAAATATGTAAATACAAATCAAATACTGAAATTTGATACAGTAAAATCTGTGTATTAGTGGAACATATTTGGTACCCCTAAAAGTAATCCACTTGGGAGGAGTTCCTCTACAAATTTTTATAATCATTAAAAATAGGCGATGGGACTTTAAAAAGTGGTCCATTTATAAAGGTGCTTCACTTGACAGATTTTACAATATATAGACTCACACTTATAATATATAAACATGCGATAATATGAGCTGTGGGTGCATAAAACTTTTAAAACATTGTGCAATATCATTCTTGTTCAATGCAACTTAAACACTGATGATATAAAACTTGTCCATGAAAAACCAAATGACATAAAAAACACAAAACATCAAGCCGCCAGAACATAAACTTTAATTAATGTGTTGGTACCTAAAGACTAATAAAAATATATAATCTCTTGTAAACAGATGATGACATAACAAACAAGCGCAGCAGGCAGTTTTTACCATTATTGTCAGCTGATGGAGAAATCACTAGTTTGTCAAAATCCGAGGCTAGAAAATATGAGATCAACAGACTGAAATTTTATCATTTGACAAAGTGCTCTGTGCCTGAGGGGTGAACATGTCAATTTGTTTTAGCAAAATTAATATTTGGGGTACTGTAAAGCCCAGTTTCATTGGTGTAGAAACAGAGTGAAACGAACTAGAGACCATGTCTTTCAATGTCAAAACATTAACAGGAATTCTCACCAGCAATTTTGGAAATAATGTCTGTGGGCTTTGAACAAAATGGGCTTTTAGAGAGAGAGAGAGAGAGATTTCAATAAATTGTTTAACTTCTTTTGCAAAAAAACAAACTGATGAATTGAACTAATAAATCTATAAACTAATTTAATTATCATTATTACCACCTTGCCGGGCCAGTTCTAGGGGTTTTAGTGCTAGTTTAGAAGGCGTTTATTTAACTATATCCACCTGAGAAATGTGTGACGTCATAGTGGTGGTCCATATGGACCGGTCTAGAATATATTCTGGACCGGCAATTTTCCCCGGGAAATTAGATATCGTTCAATGCATAAGATTTTCTTGCTGTTTCAGTCCTGGTCGTTAACGGTGGTAATAATACTAATAACGTCATTTCTGCGAGCGATATAGTGAATTATAACATACCTATGATGATGTATAGTGCAAAGTGTACACAAGACAGCGGGCCAATATAAGTTTTGAAAAGCCCGCGCCCGCCAACTTTCTGATTGGTCAAGGCGCTGACGTCATAACCAATCGATCGAAGATAAAACTGCGCGAGCAATTTTTCTAAACTCATTTCAATCATTTTCAAACCATTTGTTTGTCAATTCTATAAGAAAACGGTACTCTCTGACCAGTCTACATCATCATAGGTATGTTATAAATCGTTTATGTCACTATCGTGGCACATATGCCCTCGGTTCTCAGAGATCAATGTCCCTCCCAAGGTCGGGCCATATATCACTGAGACCTCGGGCATATATGCCACGATAGTGACATAACCTCTAAATATTGGACCTTGGGCCTTCGGCCCTTGGTCCAATATTTCACTATATCGCCCTTAGAAATGACGTTATTGTACTATTCATAATATTGAACCAAAGTAGGAGATAACGAATCCCCAAAGTTGTCATAAGATAATTAAACAATTACATTTCTATCTTAATTCTAAACTAATCTACTCATCTGATTCTGAGGTCAATTATATTCTGGTAGACATAATATCATATCAACTTATCTTTAAAATATGATCTTATTCAACTACCAAACTTTTACTCACAAAATTATAATTTGAAATATTTGAGTTGTCTTATTAATTGGTCAGTATCGGAAGGTAATATTAGATAAATTATTTTTTAATATTTGGGTTACCGCCTGGAAAGACAGATAGGATTATAACTTTAACCCTACTGAATTTTGTTTTTAGGATATTTTTAATTCAAGATGAATGTCAAAAAGGTGGCAATATTTCAAATCAGAATTTTAATTGATTTGAGTTAACCATAGAACTCTCTTTAGATCCCTCTATAGATTAAAGGTATCAAACTTACCAGAGACACTCCTCCCGTAATCATTGGAAACTTTTGTTCTTTTCTTCCTTCTTGCAGCACTGGAATCATATGATCAATAATTGAGTTCTTAATTTCAAAAAATAAAACTATGGGTTAAAAATATTATTGAAAATATATTCAGATCTAATTTTGAGGACTCGTCATGGAAGGATTCAAGAACATCATTGAATAAAAAGCTTTTGGCACAAAGTGTATCTTTGATACTGAACAATGTCATAAACAAATAACTTTTTAAAATTGAGATCATATTTTTACTAACATTATCATGATAGGAAAATATATATTTGTAGAATGTTGAATACTGTAGTTGTCATTCTATGCATGTAAACAAACATTTACGATGTGTGTTGTTCAAGCTTTGAGTCAAAAGCAAGTCTGATGAAAAGCAAACTTTAAGTTCTTTCAGTTGACCCATAAGTCTACAATGTATTCTGAACAGTAACATGCATATAGTACACAATTGTTCTCAAAAGCATGCTGGCCAAATGATTTTACCTAATACAATACATGCACAAACATACATTTAAAATCATCTTATCATGCAAGAGAGATGAATTTTACTCAAAACATGGTAGGATGGTCGAAAAGCATTCAATACATAGTGGCATGTCTGTACAGTGTATAGTGATGTATGAAGTCTTAGCTTAACATTAGAATGCAAAGAGTAAAGCCCAAAGTAAAATTCAATGGGGCATCTTATTTCAAAAATAATATCCCATTGAGCCTACTTGGAAACCATCAGACTATGCCCTACTGGTGTATGTTGGGCTTAAGATGCTACACTATAGCTACACTATGTATTACTCTTCTTTCTTACATATCTGTACCACACTCATACCCTGTTAATGGAGCTGTGAATGTTGCCAACAATGAAGGATCAGTAATGGTTTATACAAACTAATTGTTGCTGTTAAATGCTCAATAAGCTCCATTATCAGTGCATTCCAGAGTGGTGGTCACTTTTGTGAGATACAGGGATACAAGGAGCAGCTTTCTATTGGTGTATAAAGAATACAGTGGAACACACATCAGTTCACTACTGATAGTGATGCAATCTTGTAGACTAAAGCTTCACATTAATAAGCAGGTGAATAGGGATGAAGTGAATGTAGACAGCACAAAATGACTAATCTGGCAAATTCAGGTAGGCATGAGTAATCTGGCAAATTAAAGCGGGAAGAGTAGAATGAGGAATCTGGCAAATTAAGGCAGGAAGAGTAGAATGAGGAATCTGGCCAATTAAGGCAGGCAGAGTAGAATGAGGAATATGGCAAATTAAGGCAGGCAGAGTAGAATGAGGAATCTGGCAAATTAAGGCAGGCAGAGTAGAATGAGGAATCTGGCAAATTAAGGCAGGCAGAGTAGAATGAGGAATTTGGCAAATAAAGACAGGTAGAATAAAATAAGTAACCTGATATATCATTTCAGGCTGAGTAGCTTGAGAAATCTGGGGATTTAAGGTAGTACAGAGATGAACAAGTTATCCGGTTAATGACATCATCAAGAAGCATTTCCAAATACTAGTTGCCTTACTTAAGCCGTGACATGCAAATAAGGCAGAAGCAGGTTTCAATCTATCTAAGTGCCATCTATATAAACAATAACTACCTATTTCGTGCCTTACTACTGTCATTGTTAGACCTGTGAGTAACAGAGGAGATGATAAACATGCACAACTAGATAAGGAAGACTTGAGGAAAGAATCGTGTGGATTAACATAACAGGCCCGTAGCCAGGATTTGCCAAGGGGGGGTTCACTTTTTGAAAAATTCCAGGGGGGTTCACTTGTGTCAATTTTGGTCCAAAAATGGCCAAAGTCCTCAGAATGGTGAAAAACTGCATGATTTTGAAAGATTTTTTGTTTGTTCGATGGGTTCGCTTGAACCTATCGAACCCCCCCTGGCTACGGGCCTGCATAATATACAATGAATTTTTACATGGTCCACATGCATTTACTGACTAAAGAATGTTAATAACATGTAACGTAAATCTAAACATGTAACTGATTCTTTATTAACATGTTATTCAATGTATGTTATCATGTTTATTAAAATATATATAGTCATGTAAATATGTTAACCCTGTAGATTACCTCATATACAGTAAAATATTTCATAGAGTGATTGTGAATATTTCATACTGTTCCTGTTATATTCATATCATTCTCATGTGCAGCTTAACAAAGTTTTTCTTTTCCCTTTTAATTCACTATTTCTACAAATAGTCAGTGCTCATTTGAGCTCAAATGTACTATTCTTTCTTAATCAACATTTTCATTACTCATTTTCTGATTCACCCGTTCAAGTCTTTTTAAAGATGAAAGCCTCACAACCACTTTATGAAGCCTTGTCTATGGTTTGTGTTAGTTATTAGGTATTAAATGGTCTACTAGCACCGTAAGTGTCAACTGGTTGTTATTACCTCTCTGCAGCTAGGGTCCTGATCATACCATGCATAACAAAAATAAACGTTACAAAATAAATACAAAAATAAATAAAAGACATACTTATTACAAATACATAAATTTCTTTCAAATTTGCAATATTCAATTGAAACCTGTTTTTGAAAATATTTCCAAGTAATGTGTTCTTAGTCTGTAAGCAATTAAAGGGTTCTGAGCCAATGAAACATTGCAAATTTAAAATTCAACTAGAGTTACTATGCAATGCATTAGGCTGGGCCTTCATCTTAGATTTGGTCTGCAATCCTTAAAGTAACAAACAGTGACAACAAATAGAGATTAACAAATCAGTATATAGGCACTAAGATCTAAGAAGACTATAAAATCATAAGATACTTTTCACTATTAAGATCACATCACATCAACAATTTTACATCTTCAAAGTGTACTGTTACAATTCTGCATTAAGTTATATGTACAAGATAAATGTACTTTAAAATGTAGTTGCACTAGGCCAATGTGTAGTTACATTAGCACAGTGAACAGTTATATCAAGGGAAAGATCAATACCCGGTGATTTCAGCGGGAAGTGGCGTTTCGTTCAGTGGATGAGCTGCGCGCGCACGCATAAATGTGATTATCCAATATAATTAGGGGAGGGCTATTTGAAATGGTTTTTGGTCTCAGGCGCGACCCAGGGCTGTTGTCTTAAGGACATTTCGTTGAAAATGAGCCATTCGGCTGATAATTGGTAAGAGTTTGCGATCTTATAATGTATAACTGTTACTCAGACACATATTTTGACATGATTCTGTTGGAAATAAGCTTTGAACCGAGAGATATTCACGATTGATATGCACATTTTTGATTGTGCCATTGCTTTTCCATTGCACAATCCATGTATTGATAGAAGAAACATTAATAATGCAGATTGGTTTACCTTCAATACATGGCAGACACTACATATCGGTCTATTAATACCAGTTTGTGCCTTAAATAGTTTCATATTTCCATCCACGGCCTGGAGCCTGGGTGTGTTTGTCTCTTATGTGTATGCTTGTGCATGGACTTCTAATCACTAGCAGAATTTAACATGATGCAAACTCGACATTATAACTCATGCTGTAACATTTTGACTTCGCTGGAAAACTAGGAATTATTTTTCTTGCCAATCAATCATGAATCACAATCAAAATTTCAGAATGAGCAATCAGGCAATGATCCAAATCAAGTAATAACATTATATGATATTCAGCAAGAAGTCCGGTAGAAATACAGAATATTTAAACATCAAAGCTGAAAGTTAAAAGCTAATCTGTCAATTTTCTGTCTGCAAAAGAGCGTTTACATTTGACACAATAACAGACTGAGGCTTTGAAATCTAGGATTCCCCAGGAAAATATGACGTCATACTAATTAGCATAAGGATTTCCCTATTGGTTTGGGTCGAGCCTTGTTCGAAAACACAATCCATAAATACATGCTAATTTCTAAGGAGATAGGAAGTGTATAACGTGTTTATCGATTTTGTTTAAATATTTAATCAATTATCAAATTGTTTAAGTGGATAAAGTGGTCACACTTGCTTCAATTCATAGCGAAATCGACGGATAGAAACTGACCGAATTCCCGATATCCTACCCCGTATTACTGTAGGCTATAAGCACAGTGACCTACAGAGGGCGCTATCACAAACAAGTACTGCACGAACCGATAAATTCCCGGGTATTGTAACGCCCTTGGTTATATGCACATTTTCGCTACATCTGTTTAATGTGCATGTACGAGGGTTGTCCCAGAAGTAATGCACTATATGCTCTAACTTTATCAATAATTGATATTTTTCCATGAAATTTTCAGTAAATGTTCCTTAGAGACATTTTGATTATTCTAAAAATTTTCATGTTGACTGATAAAACTATATTGATGTTACAATAAAATCAAGTTGGTGAGTTTGGGTAGGGCGGGGCAGGTTATACAGTCACGTCAAAATGAATAAAAAATTTAAAATACGAAATAATTAATGAATAAATACCATTTGGTGTAGCTATAAGAAGTATGCTCAAAAATACATTTTAAGATACCAAATTACTATGAGCATATCCTAGATTTAAAGGATGTATATTGCACAGTGTCCCATTTCACATTTTCTCAAAATATTGCCCTTTGCATGTTATGTACTTTTGATGCCTGTCGGGTCAAACAATCTCGGCAATTTCTTCCACTGTGACTTGTGGAGTTTTTGCCTCCCATATTTGGAGTTGTCATACAGGGTCAAATCGTCTCTTTTAAATCTCTTCTGCCACCCCATAATTGTAGTTCTATCCGGTATATACTCCTTATATACTTTCTTCATGGTAGCATTGTTTTGCGGGACTGTGAGTCCAAGTGAAGTATGAAATTAGGCCACCAAACGCAAGGCCTTCTGTTATCAGGTGAGAATTGCAGTCATTTTTGCAATTTCTTGACTGTGACTGTATTTGAATTCGTGACTATTGAAACGTGGTATTATGACATCACAGTGCTAAATGTCATTATTCGTACTTGGTTAACATCATGCTGAATAAATTTAACAATTTCCCAAACATTTTGACCATTTAAAGGAAAGAAATATTAATAAAATAACACTTTAGATCTTTTTATAATTAGAAAAATTGGTACCTGCCCCGCCCACCCCTACCCCCATGTTGTTATAGCAACCATATTAAGACTTAATATTAATGATGGATGCTGAAACTTAAGGATATAATAGATAAACCTTCAATTGTTATATACACAAAATTTCAGCTGAATTGAAGAATATTAGAGAAAGTTAGAGCATATAGTGCATTACTTCTGGGACAACCCTCGTATATTACATCTGCACAATATACAGTAACATTGGTACAATGTACAGTGCCATTTACACAACTGTCAATCTGCATAGCTAGCTTGGATAAAGCAAAGCCTCATATTGGGCATCATTATTACATGCTATCAAAATATACTGAACATATAGTAAGGTATTAGCTTTAGCAAGGGTTGTAAAATGTGTATAAATAGAGGGACCATTTATCATTGTCAGTGTGCACTAACGCAGGGACCACTGATTATTTTTAGTGTGCATTAATGCACAGACCACTAATCATTATTAGTATGAATTAACACACAGACCACTAATCATTATCAGTGTGTATTAATACACAGACTACTAATCATTATCAGTGTGCATTAATGCAGGGACCACTAATCATTATCAATGTGCATTAATACAAGGACCACTAATTATTTTCAGTGTGCATTAATGTACAGACCACTAATCATTATCAGTATGCATTAATACAGGGACCACTAATCATTATCAGTGTGCATTAATACACAGACTACTTAAATCATTATCAGTGTGTATTAATGCAGGGAACACTAATCATTATCAATGTTTATTAATGCAGGGACCGCTAATCATTATCAGTGTGCATTAATGCAGGGACCACTAATTTAATTAGGGAGTCATCGGCACATTATGTCCTAATTGAAATCTGAACACAGAATCATAAGTTATATAGCAACTTGTTGAATTGTTTTAATTTGAGTATTATATATAACAAAAAATGTACAGGGGTACAGTCTTCTTCCTATAAGGCCTAAGGCTGTAACTTGTATATTGGTTAAACACTACTGAAGTTAATAAATCAAATGAAACACAGATGTCAATGTTAAGGGCAAGGTCAGAACATCTTTTTCAGAAATCATAAACAAAAACTTGAAAAACAAATCAAAAAAGGTCAATCAAAATCAAAAAAGGAAGGATGGTTAAAGATTATTTCATTTTGTCGCTTTGAAAGAGGTTGGGCCAAAACATGAAATTTTTTCATTGTCTGAAATACATCAATATTCTGACCAATACCCGTTTAATGACAATAATATCAGATGAGCTGATTGATGGTTGATACATGCAGAAAGAAAGATGTCACCACTTGCTGCTTACAGCGATTTTGATGATGTCCTCTGCAGACAGTTCCCTCTATAGGTAGGACACACAACCAGATAGAAATAAAATGCAAGAAAAAAGAATATTAACACAATGTGGTTAATTTAATCAGGGCCCAATCACAGATCATCTTCAACTCCAGGTGATTTCACATCATCAACCTTTACTTAAAAGCAAGCAAACGATGGCAAGGTCAGAGAGATTTGTCGGAATGAACAAGAAATAAATGCAAGGGATATTTCTTTAGGGAAATAATTATATGTTACACATCACAGGTAAAACATTTAATTTCATCATAGACAACTGAGATTGAATCACGACTCCGTTTAGAGAATTAATTTCTTCTGCACCGTGTCCTAAAAAAAATTATTAAATACATACAGTTAAAGACAATTTATTTTTTAGAAAGGGAAATAAACTGTTTTTATATTGTACAGTGAATCAAAGTTTACTGTACTTTCATACACGATTGCATAACTTCAGAACAAAATATGATGGCATAGTCTATATAGTCTCAAAACTGATACCCAATAATGCTTTTAAGCTTATATGTAATGTGCATAAAGCTAGAAGCTTTAAAGGGAAATACATATGATAAAAAGATAGAAAAATACTAGCTTTTGGTAAAATTGTCTATTTTTTAAATGTACTATGCTATTAATTTTTAATTTTATATATTCTAGCTTTAAAGGCATTGGATTAATATTAAACAACTTATAAACTGGGACCAATATAAGTAGAGGTATATTAATGAATCCTAAATCTCTTGATATAATACATTTATGTAAGGAATCAAGGTGATATTCAATTTACAGAAATAACTATCTACAGTAAAATTATAAATGTTTGGAACTACTTTGAATTTAAAAAATAAGCAATCCAATGACTATATTGCAACAGTATATGAAAAAATGGAAACATATGTACAAGTCCTAACTTTTGTACATTTCAGATAGTTATGTATAATAAGCAAAGCTGTGCCCTTGTAATTTTGAGTTTCAGCCATGTAAATTTTTTTCGAAAATAACATGGCAGAGAAGCATCAAAATACAAGGCATTAACATGACA